ACATACATACATAGATGCATACATATTTATGTATACACATATATACGCAGACGCGCACGCACACACACACACACCACACACACGTGCAACTTATGTTTTAATAGCTGCCGCGTTTGGCAGGGGCTGCGGCTCCACAGCCAAGCTTGTTCCCCTGCCTCGACATCGAAGTCACCACCATCTGGCAGCATGCCTGCGGGGACATGAATGCTTTAGCTGCATTTATCCCAGGTGGGTCATGCTGGGCGTAACGCCTCCTGCAACAAAAGCCGTTAAATCTGCATCATCAGAAGTCAAGTCCATCTGCAACAAGCTAACAGCAGCATTAGCCTCAATTCGACGTGCGGTTTCTGTTTTGGAGGAAGCTAAGTTTGGGGGCAGCATTCCGCCGAATTCAGCCAGTGTTGAAGTCAAGGCCTGTATACCCGCCGGCCGCGCTGGCCGTTGGTGTCGGATACGTCGTCCTGAACACGAAAGCCAGTCATCAAACAGTCGTGACAAATCGTGGTTTCACAGAAGCTAGAGCAGGGCTCACAGATGGCAAAAGGAACTTTCTTACCGGCCTGCGACTAGATTCCAGGCAGCTCATGTGTGTAGAAAATAAAGCACTCACTTACCCACATGACGGTTTAGAGTTTAGGAATTTCGGGCTTAGTAAACCCTCAACCCTAGACCCTAAAGCAGGCTGCCAGGGGGACACGAGAAAATGTGGAGCACCCACCCCAAGCGCATCGGCCAGGTCTACTAATGAAACTACCTTCCCAAATACCGATGGGGCAAAACTTTCCCAGAACAAGACTGCCTTACAAGAGTTTCAAGAATTGACAAGATGAGTTTTGGACCACTACGAACAAAACAACGCATTGACAGCGATGTGAAATATATTGTTTGAACTGCACTTTCAAGCACAGCTCTGAGGCGAAGACGGCAGCGTGAAGCGCCTGAGGATTGGTCCAAGCCATGAAACGACACACTCTCGCGCACACACACACACATACACATACTCACTCTTGGCTTGTCTTACACATGCTTCTTCTCCTCTCTCTCTCTCTCTCTCTCTCTCTCTTTCTCTGTGCTGCGGCCTCATTAGGCCCATGTCCAATGCTGCCGCCGCCCGGCATCGTGTGGAGTGGCCGAGAAAAACGTGCTAGATTTCTCATAACATCCAGACTTTGCTTTCCTTGTTTCGCAAGACTCTTTGTCCAGCGGACCCGCTTTGCTTTGCATTGCCGGCATTGCCCTCAGTCGAGCTGCCCCATGCACCGTGTGATTAGATGGAAAAAGCTATCCCCCCTCTGTCTGTCCTTTCTTCTGTCGCCAGGGCTAGGAGCAAGAAGGGCAAGCCCGCCTTACCCGAGCACGTTAGCGCCCCCGACTGTTGTGGAGCGACTTATTGAATCGGCGATCTCCAAGGAGGCAACGACTTGACAAGAACGTAGTCTGTCCGTCTCCCTCTCTCTTGGTTCTCGCGCTGCTCCAACTGATTTCTGCGTCCCAGACTTGTGATGCTGAGGATTACAAACTGCCGCGTGCGGAGATAGTGTGCAGCGCATTTGCGGAGAACCAGACCAAATCTGTTCGTGTGCGTGTGTGTGTGTGTGTGTCTGTCTGTGTGTGTGTGTGTGCGCGCGGGTGTGTGTGTGTGTGTGCGTGTGCGTGCGTGCGCGCGTGCGTGTGCGTGTGTGCGTGTGTGTGTGTGTGTGTGTGTGCGGGTGTGTGTGTGTGTGTGTGCGCGCGTGCGTGTGCGCGCGCGCGGGGGTGTGTGTGTGTGTGTGTGTGTGTGTGTGAGTGTGTGTTTTGTGTGTGTGTGTGTTTTTGTATGCGCGCGAGCGTGTGTGGGTGTGTGGGTGTGTGGGTGTGTGGGTGTGTGGGTGTGTGTGTGTGTGGGTGTGTGGGTGTGTGGGTGTTGGGGGGGTGTTAAACATAGTGCAATACATATACCCCAGAGTCCAGAGTCCTATT